CAGAAACATATAAGGACCATTAAAATACGTAAAAATACAAATACAATGAGAAAGAGGAGGGAAACAATATTTTTTTAAGAAGGCTGAAACTCGTACAAATTGAGATTTCAGCTTAATAGAATCTACAGATTGTCTCCATGATGCTCATTTCAATCTACCAAACAGATAAATACATTTTTTTTAAAAACACTTCACATTAAACAAATGACCACATAGCTGTAATATAAACAATCCAACTTTCCAATTTTTTCAAAAACTTGTCCTGTTGCAGTTTGATAGTAAACGTAAATCTTTCCATTTTAAAAAACATCATAGATAAAGTCAACACAATCCTCTATTGTGGCTATTTTTTTTTTGGTCCTTTTCTGGACTTAAATCTGTACTAACTGATGATAGAGATATCCTCATCTGATGGCACGCCACCAAGATACAAGGTCTGTACTTTAAATACCTCATCAAAACCAAAAAAAACCCTTAAAAACCTCCCGCCAGAAAGAAATCATTAATGGGCAAGGCCAAACTTTATGATTTGCCTTGGAAAGCCCACAGTGTCTCCAGAACTTAGAAGATGTGGCATAATGTCTCGTTTGAGCTGAGTCATGAGACTTTTTCCAACAAAACTCTTTCCATAAAGCTGAAGGTCTGCATTGCTGCAAGGCTAAATCTGTTACTGTGAAAAATCCTGGAGAAGTATTTCATATTTTTATTTCTCAGCTGCAAGATTTCATTATCATGTGTGAAGGTACTGATTTTAGTGACTTAAATTATCTCACTATTGTACTGTATTTATATCGTATTGCTTTTCTACTATTAAGGCACTGCGTTTCTTATGTCGTTTTGTTTTTTTTCTGAGCAATATCTGGCTCAAGAACGTCCTTTGGGATTATTACGGTTTATTTATCTGGGTTATTAGTGATTTGACACAGTTAAATAAGATGACAGGGTGAATACTTTAACTTTAAAACCACAGAGAAAGAAACAATCCCTCTTCTTTCTGTGCCTCCTCAGCAGCCTGCACTGAATCATCACCTCTTTCTTCTCTTCCTCCATTTCCTCCTTCTCTCTTTCCCCCCCCTTTTTTTTTTCACTCTCAGTTTCAGGCCAAACATTCCAGTTAATCAGAGAGTCAGCGGAGTGAAACCACAGAGGTGTCTGCTCTGTTCTCACATTATTCATATTCCTTCTTGCCTCCATAGACTCCCGTTCTCTCCGGTAATGAGGTGGAATCAAACACAACAGTGTAATGGTGTATGTGTGTTGCTGAGACGCGTGTGTTTGTGTGCATAACAAGGCTGAGTTACAGTGATGTGGTTGAGAGAACATGACGGAGCTCCGCTGAGAGTCGGGATGTAAACCAGGAGAAGGTCTGTGCCGTATACAGGCACCACAGCTGCACCGGCACATCCAGCGGTTTACTTTACTGATATGGAAACTTTCTACACCTCATCTGTAATGCTTTTATTGCTTTTCTTTTTCCTTTTTAATATTTTTTTCCGTCTTTGTACGAGCTGTGGGTTCCTCTGTGGAGGAGATCATCCGTCAGCCCAACAACCGCTAGAATTTGCTTTTACTAGTTTCAGAAATGTTAGAATAATGATGTGAGGAATAAGTTCCATTGCCTTTAATCTAATAACGATCCTGATAAAGTGTCGACTCCCCACATTCCTTGCAGCATAAATCACCCTCCGATTTAAAACTGTGATGCACCAATCCGTGTTTGGGTGTGGCTGTTTGGAGTGTAGTCAGAGATAATATGATGCAGGGGGGATCTAAACATGCACTGCTTAACTAGTGAATGATAAATACACCTGGAGACCAAAGCAAGCTACTGTTAGGACTTGACAATAGTTGTTTTTTAAGCTGAATTTATCAGCGCAGGTCAAATATGAGTTGACTGAACAAGTAATTCTAAGTTTGCTAAAGTTGATACAAGAGTTTGATTAAGCAACTTTTAAACTCAAATCTGTCAACTTAAATGTCAGATGTTGCATGTGGTTGCCTGTTGTTTTAAGTTTACCCATTTTTTTTTACTAAAGTAGTCAAACAAAGAACTTGTTGCACATCTATTTAATGAGGCATTTGCATATGAGAGGGACAAGCACATCTAAAAGTTTAAACCAGACTCCTGCAAACTGTGAAACCTGCAAAGATACATTTACTAGCATGATGTTTCAGTGCTAGATAATCACTTAATAGAAAATAAGTCAGACTAAATATTTACTTCAAAGCTCTGTCGCAAAAATGTTAATAAACGTATCTTTACAAGTCAGTGATTGACGTAATTGTTGCTGAAGTGCTACGAAAACCTGTGTTAAACTCATCGAACAAAAGTGCAATAAAAGCTATTTTCACAAACGGTGTAATTTTCAGGTTTCGTTGAAATCATTAAAGTTGAATAAACTTTGTGCACACTGTAGAAGCTGCAGTGTTTCCTGTGTTCTAAAATGAGCTCGAGCCTTTCTAATCCAACAAAAATGGAAGTGTTGGAAATTAATGCATTTAAGAGTTTCTCAGCATCAGTTCGAGACGTAAATCCTTCAACTTTAGATGCGTCTTTCAAGCACAGATGAAAACTGTTCAGCTAAATCTGATATATTTATATGATACTCCTGGTAAAAAGTCTTAGACAGTGTTTGATATTGTTGACAGAGGTTACCAAGTTGGTATATATTCAAAAGGCTGAAACTCAGGTGGTAGAACAAGGTGTCAAGGGGTTCGAGCCCCCCTGCATGATGAAGTGAATGTGTGTATGAATGGGTGAATATTAAAGCCACTAAGGTAAAAAAGTGTTATATGGGTGCAAACCATTTCTACAGGACTAAGAGCAGCAGAGGGTACAGAAATATAAAACTGTGCATCATCAGCATATGTGGAATCGGGCATCTTGTGTTTCTTCATCATGTTGCCAAGCAGCAGCATGTAGTATTGTCACAGTAAACACAGTATATTTAGTACAGTCCAGGCTGTGTAAATACAACATTTAAGTAGATTTAGTAATAAAGGATATACTTGGAAAACGGTGACTCACCACGCCTGGTCTTGGATACGGAACCCTGCCTTCATAAGCCCCCCACTGGTAGTCAGGACCCTCTTTATGAGCAAAAGGTCCATTGAAGGCTTCTCTGATATCAGCCATACGGTAAACACACACAGCAAAGCCCTGGAACACATTACTGTGGAGGACAGAAGGGAAATATACAATAAATGTCACATTATGTTGTATGGACTCACCCATGAGGTTACACCGCTTCAGCAAAGTGGGACGTTAAACCACTGGATGTCAGCAAACATGAGATTTTAAAATGTTGCTTGTGATGGTTAATAAGCACCTCCAAATCACCAACACCCAGTTAATTACGTAGGAGTAGCTCCATGAGTCAGGATGACACATTTCACGCTTTCAGTGGAAGGAACTATTTTAGGGGAAAACACAACTAAACACTTAAGTACACCGTGGTGCAGCTTTCAAAACACCTATCAGACCACTGTGACCACTGCTATCTGCCTCTTCTTTTGCAGTTTTTGGTGAAGACACAGCTTGTTTTCTTTTTGAGGTTTTAACAGATGCTTGTTTTGTTGATTTCAAGCTGCTTAGCAATTATTCTTTTTGCTGTGTCTGTGTTTGTTAAGCACCAAGATGGAGATCCTCTCATCATCTGACAGTTCTCGTCTGTTAGGCATCGTTAAGTGACAGTTTAGTTTGGACTATCTATGAGTGTAGATAAACAGCTTATGCACAAAATAACAGAATGTTCTCAGCCATCTAGTGTGAAATTGGCATTTTCACAGTTCCAATACATCATATTTAAACATAATTCAAGGCCTGTATTAAATTATCACAAGACTTTTTTCATGTTTTTTTAGAAGATGCTGTAATTATTTAACCATTATGATAAAATCCAATCAGTGTTGAAGGCCTGCTGTGCAGTAATGAAAACAGCAGGTGCTCCAATAATTATTTCCAAAGCTTCAGATTAAAGCTGATAATGACGCATTAAGCTTCACGTGTGTTTACCTGATGGTGCTGAAGATTGCGTAGACATCTGGGTTCCTCTCATCCTTGGTCCTCAGCAGGAAAACATCCTCTGTTTCACATGGACGTAATGTTGGTTAGTGTGTCAGGTCATGTGTTGTGTGAACTGAAGACAGGAATTCTCCTGCAAGTTACTGCAAGTGTGCATGTGTGAAAATGCAAATTCTCTTGCAAATAGTTTGTGTGTTATTTAGTATCTCACCAAGCTGGTTGAAGTGTGTGTCGATGCCATGAGGTCCTGGTACCGAACACACCAGTCTGGCTTTGATAAAGGTGCTCCACTTATTGACCAGCACTCTCTGGCCTCCAACATCATTCTGGCAGAAAATACAGAAATAAAAACCATCTATAAAACACAGCTGCATATTTATTTCCAAATATCATTCATTGTTTTGGCTCTGTACTGCAGCGCACTGCATCTGGACTGAAACAATGATGGAGGTGAGGAGAAGCTGCTGACTGACTCTATGATTTAAGAAGTTTCCATTGATATTGGGTCAAACACAGAAGGACTGGAGGCCTTTATTTTATTCATGGTTCCCCAGTTTTAGGTCAATGAAGACGGACAGTAATCTGTAACATGCAGACCAGAGGTTCATTGTGTTCTTAGAGCCAAAGAGTGAAACATTCTTGGTTGGATAAGTCAGTTGTGCCTCAGTCTAATTAACTGGTCACTTTACCTGCTGACGTATCGTAATTTCTGGACTATAAGCTGCTACTTTTTCACATGCTTTGAACACTGCGGCTTGAACAATGATGTGGCTAATTTATGGATTTTTACCATTTTTACGAATTTGCCTCAAGACGTAAGTGACATTGAGAGCGACAACGAAAGACAAACTGAGGAAGTGTGTGACCAAGTAATTCTGTTCAATTCCGACACTGAAGAAGACGACTTTAGTGGTTTTAGTGCAGGAGGAAGATGAAGATAGTGATTAATGACTTTTCCTGGTAGGATACTGTGTTTTTTTATTTTCTTAACCAGCCGTGTTACAGGCACTGTTCAGAAAAAAAACATTTACGGTATTTGTTTATGTTACCGGTATGTATTTAATTAAAAGTTTAACAAATCTTTCTGTGTAAATATCTCACGTTACACCTGTGGATACCTGCGGCTTATAGATGTACAACATTTGTTTGCTTCTTAAAGTTAGCGGGTGCAGCTTATATTCAGGTGTGCTCAATAGTCTGGAAATTCAACAAACAAGCAAGAAGAGAACTTGGATGTAGCTTTGGATGTAGTTTTATATAAGATTTAATAAGTATGGTGACTTTTGTAGGTTTACAAAACTTAACTTCGTGTTTGATTACCTCTTGTATCAAATCCCTACGCTGGTCATGAACTATGAAGATAAACCAATTTAATCCTCTGAACCCCATAATCTGGCAGCAGGTTTGAGAGTAACGTCTTTACAAAATCAGCAAAACTACATTTATGAGAACAAAAAACTGTGAAAACACCACTATTCATCTGTGGTGAGCTATTCTGTCACTTTATTCTACGTATGATATTTAAACTAAGAAACCATTAGTAACTCTGCTGTGACTAACAGTCTTGTGGCAAGAATTCAAGTTTTTTTTTTGGGAAGAACTAGACTGAGCTGCAGGCTGTGTGTACACAAACCCAATAGGAGACAGTGATGGAAGCAAATAAAACCGTAAATAATAATAAATAAACTATAGAATCACCATTTTTTCCCCCCTAAATATTAGTAACACACGCAGCCACTTGGGAAAATGTTGCACATGTTGTCTCCATGTTTTGTATTTTTTGTAAAATCAAAGAAATCCACCTTACTCGTTTGTCTTTTCATGATTTGTAGCATCATAACTTTGTCAAACTGGACAGAAGACACTTCTGAGTCCCTCTACTTCTGGTTGAGCTGTTTACATAGAGGTGCAGCACTTCATATTGCTTTATGAGACACAATGCGTAGTACAAAGAGAAACTCCAGACAGTTTCTTGTCTTTTTCAGAATATAAGTGGTGTGTCTTTGTGTGTAATGAGGATCAGCAGTGATAATTGACTTCTTGGCAGGAACCTCCACGGGGGAAGCGATGACAAGCACTGGCCTGAGGGAGAAAACGAGGGCTGCAGAGAAAATACTGTAATGCTTGTAAGAGAGGGATGAAGAGGAAGAAGAGCTTTAGAGACACAAAGGATGATGCAAGTTTAAATCTGAAGACTTTGTGTGAGAAGTTTGCCCAAACTTCTCTGGCTCAGTCTACCGGTCTCCAAGGAAACCAGCGTGTACTTGTGTGCACTCTTTTACGTATATTTGTTTTTGCGTGCGCTTCACACGGCACACATGGTTTTATGGGCAAATCAACGCGTGAAATACTGTTACAGAGCGTGCAGAGCATATGGAGATCACGGCTGGGAAATCTGACAGCTGTGGGCATTTTGGAAAAAGAAAATAATTGTAAAAAAATTAGATAATTGTGAATGTCACGATGCCTTCACAAGCCCTGGGGGGAAAATAAACATCTGATGGCCCCACAAGACTTTTGTCTTCTCACAAAACTGTCATAATAAGAGGATGAACCCATAAAGCCTCTTGTTCTGGAAAATAAATGCAGCATATGTTTGTGTGTGACCATGAAGAAAAAAGTTCCTAAATCAAATTGTTGGCTCTTTCTGGATCAGCGTGTCTGCGTCTTTTCTGTGGTTTGACATTGATTCAAAATGTGAGATGCATAACAGATCCTCAAGAGGCCTCCGAGGACTCCCAGGTTCCTTTGCAACCTTTTTCTTCATGTGAAACACCTCCACAGATGTCTCCGTCCTGGCATCGGATATTTGCACGAACCTCACCTGACCATCTGGCTTCAGTCACCCACACAGAAAATCCTTCAATCTTTCTCTGTGTGTCTGCGTATAACTGAGCTCTTTGGGGTATCCTGGGTAAGTAAGACATTGTTTCTTGTTATCGAGCTTTTAAAATGTAATCTATCAATGTTTAATGCTTTATTCATCCAACATCTCAGCGGTGGATATCTCAGAACTTGAGCAAGAAAGATTATCTGCGAGGCCAGATAGCAGCTGGAAAAAGCCGACAGCTTTAATAGAAACGTCATCATTTACGAGTTCAGAAATAAAAGCTAAGCAGAAACAGTTCTGAGGTTTCTCACCGCACACACTCGTCCGACTCGGGTGTGAATGGCTCCCTCCCTGTCTCCTGCCTCGGTGGCCTTCTCAGTGAAAAAGAAATACACTTTGTCGTTGTCTCTGTCGTCGTTGTCCGGGATGAGGTGGGCAGCGATGAACTTGGGGTCTGCAGGGGTAGATGGAAGAAGGATTGATTGATTGAAGAAAAGGAGAATCAAATAAAAGCACATAATTGAAGATAAGTGGTTATTGGTGCAGCAGTGCTCTTTATACTGATGGATTCTGTGCTTTTAACTTATTTCCAACACCTCCTGCTGCTGCTTTCCTGTTTGTTTGGTTTGCACTTCTCTTCTGTTTTACCTCTATAAAGAAAATAAATGTGCAAGTATTGCCAGTTTTCTTCATTCCTCTTGAAAACTTAAGACCTGGTGCACACAATGTACAGGTGAAGAGGAGCTGTCAGTGCTCTCTGCAGTAATGCCAGTTTGTTCATGATCGTACCTCAATTAATGCATCAACTGCTTTTAATGTTTCCAATTGGCACCTTTAAAAGTACATGTTTTTAATATCTTTTAATGTTTTTATTTTGTGTTGGTTTTATTGTTCTACATTATCAATGAACCCTCTAAAGCCCAGGCAGTTCTTGTGTGTTTTGTTCCTGTCACATCTTCACAGCATATAGAGTCCTGGATCTCTGTCCAAGAAACAATAATATTAACAGTATGACAGAAGAGAAGACAAGAATTGAATTTGTTTATTTGTTTGTTTGTTTGTTGTTTTACAAAAACCTTTACAACATTTGTCAGTGCCCATCTGTGTTACCAATACTGGGGAGAAAAAAAAGGTGACGCTACGGTCTTATAGATATTTGACTACTTAGATTTTAAATTTGCTTCGTTACTAGTCTCCTATTTCTAAACACAGCCTGCAGTTCAGATGAAAATTGAACTGCCCTTTATTTTTGGCACATTTTTAAATGAGACACGTTGAATGAAGTGGTTTTGATAAAATATCACAAATCTATGGAAAAATTTGGCTTATTTTTTTTAACAAAATGGGCTGACAGTTCATTGGCTGACAGAAAGTTGAACATTCAAAGATTCTTTCTTGTTTTTACAATTTCTAGCTTTGATGAATGTTGTCAGGCTGCAGGGTGGCTCAGATGAATGGATGAATGTTGTCATTTTGGACATTTTTTATTTTATTTTTTTTATTATATTTTTAAAGATAATTTTTTTTATTATATTTTTAAAGATAAGACTTTCAAACTTGATGGCAGCTTTTGGGTTTCAGTGGTTCAATTTTCACTGGTAAAATTGACCTGATTTTGAATTTATCTGACAACAAACAGGTAAAAAATTGATGACTTTTTGAACACACAAAGATAATGGAGTTATATGTCATTGTGTTTTTTCTGTATTTGATATTGGCGTTGGTGAGACAGTGAAACTTTACCGTGAAGGAGTTTCTGATCCGTCTCTGTCCTCATGGTGGAGCGACCTCCCATACTCCTGAAGATCACCGAGTCTCTTCCCAGGAAATCTGCCGTCAGTCCTGTATACAACTCCCCACCTGCAGAGAGGTGATGGGACAGAGACAATACGTTAAACAGAGTGAGGACAAGAACGGATACGTACAGCACAGTTTACAAAAGGCTGTAAGAATGTGAAGGAACAGAAGCAATAGAGAAAAAGCGATTTGGGAAAATAAATAAAAAGAACATTTGGCAGAGAAGAACATTATGAAATCGTAGGTGACAGAGAAAAATCCTGCGGTTTTAGGCAAATGCAGCAAAAAGCAGGGCAGAAAAGAGGAAATTGGACAAATCCAATACAGAACACACTGGGAGAGCAATTTGAAACCTAAACTCTCACACACTTTACGCAGCACATCCTCCGCTGAGACCGTCAGCTGTGGACCAACTTTCAGTTTCAACAACTCGGAAAACTCCTGCGAGTGGAAATAAGATCCAGAAAGTTTCCCGCGGCGGGTTTCTCACATGAAAAACCTCCGAGCCGTCGAGGTTATCGCTCATTAGATGAGACAACAGCTGACTTGGAAACAGCTAATGAAGAATTACAAGAGGTGGTTTCTCATAATAAGGCCATTTATTTTTAAGCACACATCTGTTTTGAATGTTTTACCAGCTATTATAGAAACTGAATCTGGCCATAGGAAGCTCTCCTGCGGCCGCACGGGTGAAAATTAATTCCTCTTATTTTATTTGGCTGCTATAATGGTATTAGTAACACACACACACACACACACACACACACACACATCGTCTCTTTACCTCACATAGAGTCACCTCAGACCAACGTGGCATGACATAATCTCAGCAGCAAATACAAACAAACAGAAATAAGTGATAAGCGTTGATGGGGAGTTAAGCTGTATGTGAGAAAATCCTGAAATTAAAATAACAAAAACAAAAAAAACAACATCATTGAGTTGATAACTAATGAACTGGACTTTCATCGAGTTTTAATGATACAAGCATCTATGATTCGGTTTCACGTTTCTCACGCTGAACTGAACATGTGTTGCTCAAAATTCTCATTATATGTTAATGTTCTGGGGTTTTTATGCGTTTAGAACTTTAAAAATGACTCCCTAATGTAAATTAGACTTGTGCAAAGAGCAACGAGAACAGTTTTGGTTTCATCCATCCATCCATTATCTACACACCGCTTAATCCTCACTAGGGTCATGAGGGGGCTGGAGTCTATCCCAGCTGATTTAGGGCAGTGGTCCCCAACAACCGGGCCGCAGACCGGTACAGGGCCGTGGGTCATTTGGTACCGGGCCGCACAGAAAAGAAAAAAGAAATGTTTTATTTTTATTTCCAGCGCAATCTACAGGGGGTTTTACTTTGAAAAAAGACTAGCTCGTCTTCCCGTCACTTCTGTCTGGGGTTGTTTTCCACACTTGACTGTCAGTTTTCATGCCCGGCTGTTAAATGAAGCCGTCAGTCTAACCGCTGCTGAAATGTATTTTTAAAAAAAACCCAAATGTCTCTGGAGAGCCTCTTTGGAAAGTGGGAAAGACTTGATACTGAGACAAAAGAAAGAGTAAAAACATATTTAGCAAGTAATTTTACTCGCTTGTGAAACTTTTTAATAGAAAAAACTACGATCTTTTGTCATGTGCACAATGACCAGTCTGTAGAGATTTTTCCTGTGTAAAACCAGTCCGTAGTGCAAAAAAGGTTGAGGACCGCTGACTCAGGGTCAAGGCAGGTCCACCTGGACAGGTCGCCAGTCTATCACAGGGCTACACTTAGAGACAGACAACCAAGCACACTCACATTCACACCTACGGACTATTTAGAATCACCAATTAACCTCAGCATGTTTTTGGACCTTGTGGGAGGAAGCTGGAGAACCCGGAGAGAACCCACGCTGCACGGGGAGAACATGGAGACTCCATGCAGAAAGATCCAAGTGTGCTCACCGGGGATCTTCTTGCTGCGAGGCGATGGTGCAAACCACTGTTCCACCTTGCAGCCCTGAACTGAACATGAGTTGCTCAAAATTCTCGTTATATGTTAATGTTCTGTTTTCTTTATGTGCTCATAACTTTAAAAATGACTCCCAAATGTAAATTAGACTTGAGAGCAATGAGAACAGTTTTGGTTTCCTTAACCTCTGATATTGAAAATCTACAGAGGTCAAAGGTCAGACAGTCAAGGACAGACAAGAGTTTGAATTCAATCTGTCTCGTCATCCAACACAACCTTATCGACCTGGAAGAGGCCAAAATATCTGCTGAGCCAGTTTTGAAATCTGCAAACCAGCATTTACATGATTATAATGATTGTATGTTCTGGTCTGTGTGGATCGCTCCAGATCTGCCACTCTTTCTGTGATAAACTTCCACCGAACAGATTCCTGTGTATTGTTCTGTGTCTATCGGACCACTGTGTATCGCTGCTCACGTCCAAACTACTAAATATTTGGCTCCAGTTTAAAGTTTTCCTGCCAAACACAATACGTTGTGGGATCATTTCTGATGCTGAAAGCAGCCAGCTGCAGAGAAAAAGGAGGGGATGTTTAAACACACGTGCACACTCACACGTGCACACTCATACGTGCGCGCTCACACCGCATGCACCTCCACCCTCAGTGGCTCCCTGGATTGTCTGTCACCCACGTAAATCACAAGCTACAGTAAATACCTAATGACATTCAGGGAGAAACACCCAGAACTGTTTAACCTACTCAGCACAGGTCCAGTCTGTGTATTTATGAGCAGGACGGAGCCAGAGACTTTTTTTTTTTCCAGTCACCGTTGGTGGAGTTATTATCATGTCAAAATACTGCAGGATCAGTGCAGGGAGGTGACGGGGGGTCAGGGACTAATTTGGCAACTCTGACAGTCGGATGAGGAAGATAAAGGAGGTGAAACTACACAAAGACGATGCTAAGAGGAAGCTGTGCCACGAAAAGATGTAACATTTAGATTTTATTATGAAATGCAGAGTTAAGAGAGAGGACACCTGCCTTCTGGGTCTTTCAGTGGAACAAATGAATATGAACTCTTTATTGTTGTAAATAATAGAAACACGATTTCCACACAGAAACCATTTTTGAAACAAGATTTGTTCAATAATAGAGCGTATAGAGAACCTATACAAACTTTCCCTGCAAGTTTTGCCTTTTTGGTTGCTTATCAATATTGAATCAGGGTCAATTTAATTTTTGACAAACATTGACAAAAAAAAAGACTCTTTCGCATCAGAGTGAAAACAGATTTCCATGAAAAATGCCAATTTAATGAAGATAGAAAACAAAAAGTGTTGCTTTTGTCACAGAACGGACTCAGAGACTCAACACAGACACGGAGTAAACAGGCAGATTCTATTGACAATATACAGTTTTGTATTTAGTAAACGCACTTTTGCTGCATTGAGCCTGTGTGGATTTGGTCTCAATCAGCCGTGCACATCTGGACACTACAATTTTTCTGCTTTCTTATTTGCAAAACTGCTCAAACTCTGTCCGGCTGCACAGAAATTGTGACTAAACAATCAGACGATCTCCGTTTCACTAATTCTAGCACCGGTTGGCTGCAGCTGTGTTGAACTAGCTGAGTCACTTTAAAGGCAGCGGACACTGAAGTAGTATCTTAATTTACATTTCATATTTTTAAGGAGTTGGCATGACTTCGTAGAAACACATTTTCACTTTGACATTAAAGAGTATTTTTGGGGTAAATTGCGAACGTTAAGAGGACAGCTTTGTCACAAGAACTTGGAAACACTTGGAAACTTGGCAACACTAACAGTCAGATGAGGCAGAAAAAAGAGGTAAAACTACACAAAGACGATGCTAAGAGGAAGCTTTGTCACGAAAAGATATAAAATTGAGATTATATTATGAAGCACTGAGTTATAAGAGAGGACACCCGCCTTCTGGGCCTTTTAATCTTTTTGTTTAAATATTTTTCTCTCTTTTTTGTCGGCATTTTGGTCTTTTTTTCTTTGTCTTCAGCAAATATTATTGATATTGATCATGGCCAGACTATCTGGGGAAACAGAAATCTCACCATATTAGCTGCATAGACCATAAAGTGTAATGATGAAGGCCAGAACGTACCACTGAAGGTGCTGGCGAAGGGGAAGCTGGGGTCATGTGGAACCTTCCCTCGTCCGTTCTCCACATTCAGAGGGTCCATGGTGAACACATGCTGGGGGAGACAAAGGTAGACATCATTAAATACAGCAGGTGTTTTTTCTGAGACAGAATGCATCAACTTGTTGTTTATTTCTTCTCCAGTAGCAGCAGAAAAACCTCGACCTACTTCATGTTATTCTGGTTACAGTTTTCAAAGTTACAGCTGCAGTTTTCTACCAAACAATCGCTCTACCTCCTGTTTCCTGCTTCACAGTCGACCCGAAGCAACACCTGAGATGAATTATCCTGCTCAGCAGACCAGCTCGGGTCTTTTATAAAGGTTAATTTCACAAACTAAGAGGCCATTTTTTTGCCCCCACTGTCCACACAGATAAGAAGTAGAGCCGCTAGTTTTGGTTTCACATTAATTTGTCCTTTCAGCGAACTCTGTGTCAGTCTGAGACCGAAGGCGCTCGTCTGCGATAAGAGGAAATGCAGGATCAGTGCAGCTGCCAGAGCCCAGGCCGCTTTCCCACCGAGCTTCTCAGCACACTTCAGTTTACTTTAAAGCTGAGGAGTTCACAACACTGCTATCGAACAGAAACTGCCCGTAAAACGCTATCAACAATAAAAGAACGCTGATAGTTGCAGATTCCTGGACTCCTGAGGCCATAAAACTCAATCGACACGTATTCTGCAGCTGCTAAATAAATCTATAAAGACATGTTCCATGACTTTTACATGGGAACGTTTTCTCTTTCTTTGTTGCCAAGTGATCGACAGAACCAACTCTCTGTTCATGAAGCGTTCTTGATTTCATGTCAGGTGCATTTATTTTTGTCTGGAAAAAAAAATAAAAGTCTACAGTCAAAAACATGGACCTCTAAAAACATTCTTTGCTTGTGCACTTTTGGAAAACGTGAAAATATCAGTAAAAATTACAAAACTAGTCGATGCTTTATTACATTAGACTTGGAAACTCACAACAAATCCATAACTATGAATAACCATAAAGTGTCTTAAAGAAAATGTACATTTTTTGGTGTCAAAAGACCAAAATAAAAATGGAATTTAATACAATGTTTACCTAAAATCAGCAGCCAGGATGAGAAACTACACTTTAAAAAGAAGAAATACTACTTTTTTTTCTAAAAATGAACCATTGGAGTCCATAAGGAATTAAAATCAGCTTTGCTCTTCATAATACTTTCAGCTTTATTGGATCTGATATGGTGGCAAAATGCTTCGTAGCTAATGCTAGCGGTAATGTCACATATACAACACTGTAGAAACATGTTGCGTTAAGAAATCGAACTTACAATTCTAAAAAAAAAGAAAAAGAAAAAGCTAAAGATAAATAAATGTTTCTCATGGGTGTTCCTGAAACTGTATGTTCATCCTTGGCTTCTACTATTTCACATTTTAGATGTTTTTCAATGTCTTAAGACTCAATCGATGAAAGAATTTACGACCAGAGGAGTGAAAAAACAAAAACAGAACTGTGTTATAACCAAAAATGACCGTTTATTGTAACATAATTTGCCTTATATTCTTCTTTTTCTTCTTTTTTATATCAAAAGCCTGTTAAACTACGTTGGCAAACTTCGTTATTTCACTTTTATTCAATAGATAAAACTCTCACATGTAACTTTAATACTGTAAATTTCTAAATTTAAATGGTAAATGGTCTGCACTTATATAGCGCTTTTCTACCTTTGCGGCACTCAAAGCGCTTTACAATGTTTCTCATTCACCATTCACACACGCATTCATACACCAATGGCGACAGAGCTGCCATGCAAGGTGCTAATCTACCATTGGGAGCCATTTGGGGTTTAGTGTCTTGCCCAAGGACGCTTGGGCATGTGGGGGGAACCGGGGATCGAACAACCCGCTCTACCACCTGAGCCACAGCCGCTGCTAGCCACAGCTAGATACGACTAGTGAGACTTGCCTGCATTAGTTTTTAATTTTGCAGAGATTTTTTTGTTAAATTAGCGGCATCTTGTATAATCACAGTTTTCACAGGAACACTTTCAGAACCAACGCTGAAGCTTTTTTAATTTTATTTTTAGAGCAACAGCTTGTCAGGTGTCAGTCTGCAGCCACCTCACCATCTGCCTCCAAAAACACTCGTATGAAGCATCAAACGACAGGAAAAATCTGTTCTTTTAGACTAAAGCAGTAAAAAAAAAAAAAGTGAGGAAGAAATTAAAAGTAACAGCTTCTTTCTTTGTCATTTATCTGTTGGTTGCTTGACGAGCTTTGGCCACATCCTTGGATTGTGCGATCCGTCGGGTCAACAATGGGTCACTGTGGACAAAAGGCTTTTTGTTCCTCGGCTTTTACTCCCACTTCAGCAGCACCAGGCTACCAGGCCGTCTCTGCCAGAGCCGCCTCAGTCCAAACTCAGTCTACTCCCCAGGATTTCAGGGGAATGGAAGGTGACAAGACCTCCAGTGAATTTCTGGATTTGATGCAAGTCTGTATTACTAATTTAAACGTCCTCGCGGTGAACTCTGTGCGTCTCAGCCTCTGTTCCTCTAATAGACAATGGAGTATTGTTACTAGGTGGGCGAGTCTTTGACTGAACGCAGATCACAGGGGAGATGATGACATTGAAGTCAGCTGGATAAAAATACTGCAAGAAAACTCAGTGGGAACACACCCACGCACACACTGGGCTGTGCAGCAACATGTGCTCGTTTCTGCATTTATACGTGCTGAGCGGCACGGACGGACGGACGTTGTGTGTACGCTGGCATATTCGACAGATCTCAGGAAATAGCCAGAGACAGTTGGCTTTTTAATAAATCTGATCCACATGTAGCTCCTTGGATGTCCGTGAAGAGGCTTGAATGACTTGAGCAGGTGTTAAAGTCGACATGGACATCCAATCAGTGCTTGTAATACTTGTAGACAGGCTCACACTGCGTTAAATGTGAGGTGAAGACGACAAAATGTAGTTTAGCATCGAACCAGGAGAGCAAAGGAGCAG